CCCCCCCCCCCCCCCAGAAAGAGAGGCAGCGATGAATGTGAAAATTTGGTTTCTATGTGGAAGCTATTGCTTATTGCTTCTTGCTCAGACAGGCAAGGTTCTGCATGTGTTTGTATTTCAACTCTGTGGTTAGCGCCTACGTTTCACTTTTAGTACTTATTTACATTCATGTGCACAGAGCCCAAGAATAGCACCTTATAAATGAGACTTTGCACATTTAGCTAGATATAGGAAGGTTGCACAAAACCAGTTTCCTGTTAAATAATTGTGACTTTTGACAGTTATTCTTGTTTCTCTCACTCATGCTTTCTTCTGTTTATTAGTCTTTTTTGCTATAGGAAAATAACAGAAGGGAAACAAATGCAACAGCCTATCCTACCAGAATAGCTGCATATGGTGCAATTAAATAAAGAATGCCAGGAGCCCTTCTTTCACTGAGGTACACTGAGGAGCAGAGAGAGGACTTATCTAAAGTCACTCCTCAAGGTGATAACAATGAGAACTCATTTCCTGCCTTCAAGTTCAGTGTTCTTTTCATTACACTAAGCAACCTCTAATGGGCACTATTTAGAGAATGAGGACTAGAGTCCACAAGGGAGGGTTCTTTCAAATGCATGACAAAGGTATTTCATGGGAGTGAAGGTTTTGAATAGGCTTGAGAATAGCAACTTGAATTGTACATAGATACCCAAAGCTACTGCCTGTGAATTCTAAGATGCTCTCAGAAGAAAAACCAAAGAGAGAGACAGAAACAGAAACAGAATCAGAGCACTTTCACTGCATTTGTTCTAAGTCTGATGCAGAACTGAATGTGTTTGTTATGAATTACAAACATCCTGTTCTTTCCCTCTACTTCTCTCTTAGTCAGAATGGAATTGACCCCCACCTTGCCTGCCATCATTAATCCTTCTCTCATTCTTGTTTTCCTTTCATTTCTGCTTCCCACCCCAAAAGCCCCACTAATAATAATTTAAAAAACAAGTTAATAGTTAAATTAGCAGTGTCTTTAAGGGACATTTTGATTGTTAACATGAATTTATTCTCTATTTTTAATAAATATGGAAGCACCTTGTACCTGGTAAGCATTGAATAAAGATATGTTGAGTGCATGAATTATATCTTTGAAATATATCTTTGATGGAAGACTAATAATGGCAGGTGTTATCTTTATTTTTATAAGTCATTAATTCAACAGTCATTTCTTTATTTCTTGAACATTTACTATGTGCCAGGCACTGTTCGAGATGCTTGGAATGCAGTAGGGAACAAAATGGGCAAGCTGTCGGCCCAAGAGAGGGCTTACATCCCAGTGGAAATTACTCAGAATTTGGAGTTGGAATGCCTGGATTTCTGTGTCTTCTTCCCACATTTCAGTACAATAATGCAAAAAAAAAAAAAAAAAAAAATCACCGGATAACTCTGAGACTCAGTTTCTCTACATACAGAATGGGAATGGTAAACATACTATTTCAGGAATTCACAGTGAGGATTGAAAGTGATAATGCATGCAAAATTACTCTGTAGACACTGGAGCATCCACAAAATGTTATTTTTAGGCTATTTCGTGCAGGCAGTTAAACCAGCAATTGGTATTAGTATTCACCTCAGCTAGGTTTCAGGGGAACAGATGCCACCTTAGCTGATACACTGATGCCAATTCTTGTCTCCATGATCTATCACATTAAGGATGCTCTACCATCTCTCTTGAAGAGTCTTTGGTCAACTCTGTCCCCCTCCCATAAGAAGGTAGAATGAAAAATGAAATAAGAAGGAGATTTTAAAATAAGATAATGGAATTCCAATAGCATTTATGACATATTTCTTTTCTTTTTAAGTTTTAGGTTTAAGTTCAGTACGTTAATTTTTTTTTATTTTTTTTCCATCTCATCGATGACTTCTAATTCAATTTGGGGGGGGGCTATTTATTTACTTATTTTATGATTTCTTATTCATATTTAATCATTGTACATCTCTATAGTATAAAATGTTTTCTTAAAATATGCAGGCAGTATGTGACAAATAAAAAACACTATCAAATAGATCATTTTCAACAGAGAACTTTACATTCTTATGTCTTTTATCTTAAAATTTATAGATCATTAATTCCATTTGTTATTATTACTTTTTAATTTGATCAGAGAGAGAGAGAGAGAGAGAGAGGGAAAGTGAGAAAACAAGCCACCAGGTCTAGGACTCAAATCGTGGTCTGCCATGTGGGAATCCAGCATCCTTAACCACCATGCTACCAGCAGGCCCTCTTTTATCATTTTTTTAACCAGTGGGAAAAAAAGAGAAGCATTTAGCAGACACAAAAGTGAAATGGTATCTGTTGATGATCACGTATTAATATATGGTAATATCTATGATGTTACTAATATGCATTGTATTCATGTTAGGAAAAACAATTGTGTATGCTGTAAAGATGCACAGTGAGTAAATGTAAATATTACTAAATCAAGGGGGAAAGCAAAACATTTAACAGACACAAAAATGAAAGAGTATTTGTTGATGATAATGTGTATGGAATATCTTTGGCTGGAATCATATGCAGTGTACTCATGCTGGGAAATTCATTTTGTATGCTGTAAATATGTACAGTAATTAAATGAAAGAACAAATTTTAAAGTAACAAAAAATAAAATTAATAAAAAATAATAAAAGGCAACATTTTTTAACCACCTTATTGAACACTGCTGCTCTTCTAAACTATGTTTGTCCCAAGGAGGAACTGGAACACATTAGCTCATTGGAATTGGAGCACATTAGCTTTTTCAGCTCAGAAGCAAAAGGAGAAATAAGGGCCTTCAAATCCCTAAAGGAAAAGAGCTATGTTTTAAGCACTAACACGTCAACTAATGTGTTTGATGTTAAATGTGCGACCACCAGAGGCAGTCATAGTAGAAGTATTGGGATGATATGTTTTCCTCTGTCCTCCCCTAGGTGAATAGGTAGGTAAAATAAGCAGCTATTTTCATAACGTGCTTAAACAGATTTTAACAAAGAGAATTTGAATCTTCTCATATTGCCCTCTCAAGCTTGTCAAAGCTAATGAGGCACAAGATGACCTTTCTCTCCTTATCAGGAGTTCATACTACCAACAATGTCCACAATAGCTGTTTTCTTTGGGGAGGAATGATTAATGACTTGGCTAAGATCACACTGTTCAGTAAGCTTCAAACGAAAACCTGATTCTCTCCATTTCTAGTCCATAGGTCTTTACACAGCCTTAAAATTCACTTAAACAAACAGAAAAGTAAAGTTCATTTACCCTCAAGAAATAACTTGGTTTCAGAAAATCAAATGAAAAGACAAATGTCCCATACAGAAGAATTCCAAATAATTTATGCAGATATTCAATCTCAAGGAGGGAGAATGTAACTGCCTGCTCCCTAAGTGTTTTGCATAGTGACTTTCTTCCAAAAAGTACAGTATGGAAATTGGGGGAAAAGAGTAACTTTACAGTGGAGAAACTTGACAAATAGTGCCTCAGCCAGTGTAGAGGTCAATCTCAAGTCATAAATCATGTTGGTTGTGTGTGTGTGTGTGTGTGTGTTTGTGTGTATCTGTGTGTGTAAAAATTTTGGTCTGATGCAGTCACAATGGCACTTAACTCTGCTCTTCCTTCCAAAACCCATAACTCCAATTTAGTAATGAGGAAAAAAAAAATCAAACAAATGCCAATAGAGAAATTCATACAAAATGCCCAATTTATACTCCTCAAAACTGTAACATTCATTAAAAATAAGGACAGTCTGAGAAACTGCTACAGCCCAGAGAAATCTAAAGGGACCTAACAACTAAATGTAATGTTGTATTCTGGATGAGATCCTAGGATTGAGAAAAGATCCTAGGTAAAACCAAGAAATCTGAATAAAGTCTAGACTTTAGTTAACAATGTATTGATTTTGGTTCATTAGCTGTAACAAAAGCATCACACTAATATATAAAAGTGCATGCAGATTACATGGGAATGTTCTGAATTATCTTTTCAATTTTCCTGTAAATCTACAGCTGTTCTAAAAAACAAAGTCTACTTTTTAAAAAAATCAACCACAAGTTACAGTACAAATTGCAATACAATATGCATTATAAGAGAAGCAACTTACCAGATGTCATTGAACAGAAAAAAAGAATACCTCGTCTGCTTTGGTTCCAAGAGTCCCCAGATGAGATGGTGGCAGTTTCTTGGCCGTGGTAAGGTATTTGGAATGAGCCCTTTGTGGGCACAGTCACAAAACCACATTCACATTAATACAGCAGAAGTGAAACTGATTTGCCATTGGGAGGCTATTTGCCACAAACTCCTCCCTCAGATACTGACGTGTACTTTTGAATTTGTGCATGAATTGGGGATCTTGCCTCCTTCTCGGCCCTATTTCTTTCTTTCTTCTTCTTCTTCTTTTTTTTTTTTTT